AAGAAAACTTATTTGCATGAAGAACCAACAAAACGTAAGGGGGTACAAATGAAAAAAAAAATTAAAAATTGACTTGTTTTGTCCATTTCACTGAAGAAGTTTTTTTTTTCATTTTACATGAGGACATTATCGCTTATTTTTTTCTTTCTTTTATTCTTCGTTTCTAGTTCATTTCGACGTGGTGTAACAGCAAATTTGTCGCCCTAAATGAATTACGACTGAGGAGTGAATTCGATCGTCACTGGGTGCGCCACTCTTTCAGCCTTGTGCCACATCTAAGCGACGTTTAGAAAATCGCTACATCTTCTTGCGTGGGGAAAAAGAGAGGAGCCTCGTGCGGAAAAATCTTACTTTTTCTCACTGAATCTAGGCAACGTCTCTGATTTATTTTTTTCGTCTTTCTTCACGATTTATGAGGTATCAGCATGGAGTCACATACGCGCTAACTTATCAAGGAACGAAACACAAATCAGAATTATAATATGACAATAAAAATGGAAGTAAACGTTAAACTTACTCTTGAGTTTCGAAGAAACAGGGTGAGGTCTTTCAATTTTCAAGAATTTAACAAACGGGAGGGGGTGTTCAAATCGAAAACATGGTTACCATTCTTCTTCATCTCTCATCCTCAATCATTTGCCTCTTCCTTAGATCTTTCCAGGCCCATGCATGTCCTTTTTCCGAATGTTGTCCTCCCAACAACAGTATCCAGGAACAGGTATAATTATTTATCCGCTGCCCCACGCAGCAAGATGTGGCACAAGGCCGAGTTTAAAGTGGGTTATCCGAGCCCGTAGGCTCGGGCAAAAATCCCCTATAGACCACGTAAAAGCGAGACTCTGCCTTTCGGCACAGCCTCGTCTGGGAGATACCCCCTGTGCACCATCAAACTCAATAACACATTGGCGGTGGTGCAGCAAGGATTCTTCGCGCTTGACGGCAAATACAATTTTGACGCACTGCCATGCGCGTTACGCGTAAAATGTTTTACTGTATATTTTGCAACTTATTATCCTGTGAATGACAATAACAGTAAAAATCCATTAACTATTTACCCAGGCCCAAAATAAAGTTCCAATATCATAATTGTAAAACTAGAACTAATTGAATTGGATCTCAACACTAAATATGCTTAATTAATTTGCAAGCATTTTAAAAATTCATGTCATACAGTAATGTAATTTTTCAATGCGACAGCTAGAGTAAATCAATGATATACAGTGTAAGAGAGTTGTTGGGACCGGAGAAGAAGTCTCTTATATCCGGGTTTCTCTTATATCCGGGTTTGGTCTATTTTGTTTAGGTAAGTATGGGCTCTAATTTGGGACCAGATAAAATCTCTCTTATATCCGGGTTTCTCTTATATCCGGATCTCTTTTATTCGGTTACACTATATATATATATATATATATATATACATATACATTTGGTTGGATTGATGTGAGTTTGTGACTTTGGGTTTCATATATATATATATATATATATAGACATGACGATCGCAAAAGCGTGAAACCCAGGGTCACAAACTCCGATCAATCCAACCAAATATGTTAGGGCTATCTCTGATATTGAGCGCTTTCTAATAAGTACCGCGCATATAATATATAAATAATAATATATATATTACACGTACATATATATATTTATATACACACACTTTTCACACACACACACACACACACACACACACACACACACACACACACACACACACACACACACACATATATATATATATATATATATATATAGAGAGAGAGAGAGAGAGAGAGTACATCGATGCTATTATATCTGTAGTTTATCGTTCTGGAACTCACATGGAAAACCATTCATTTATGATAGGGTCCATGGTTGAGGAAACAGAAAAAAAGTACTGGATCTTATAGATTTAGTTATGGGTTACCCCTACTAGGTTTCGCCAAGACGCCGTTAGGAGGCGCTGTTAAACAGCATTAACAATGGGGACACTCCCGATTCATTTCTCTTTTTTTTTCTTTTTCTTCTAGCATGCGGTAGAAACAACACCAGCACGGGACTTGTCACCGGCATGGGGGATATCTTTCACCGGGTGACGGAACATTGATACACACAAATACACACGCGCCGGCACACACGCGTATCACCCTAAATTTTAATATTTTCTTTCTTTCCAGCCATATTTACATGTGTATATTTAGTGTCATTTTTCTCCTTTGTTAATCAGTTAATATTGATATAAAAAAAAAAACACATGGAAATTTACACTTTTTACATTGTTTGGACTGTTTTCATCTTTATTGTTACATTCACAAAGTTTCGGTCGTTGTACGCCCCGGCCTCCTTCGGGTGATATTTATTTGAATTTCAAACCGAACCCAGAGTAGTTCATCTGCATGTTGGCGTTTCTGAAGATTGGTTCAATGTCGTTTGTGTAGGCGTTCTTGTGAATGTGACAATAAAAACAGTTCGAACAATGTAAATCGTTATAATGTCTCATCTCAGAAGTATAGACAGATCATGAAAATATCACTTTGTCGAAATTTATTCCATTTCTTTTCACCTCTGCTAACAATGACGATTCGTCATTTACATGGGTCAATTTTGTTTGCCACTGCTTTTCGTCTAACTAGGAAAAATATCCACAACAGTGACTTCCGGCCTTCAGCATGTGTGTGTCTATCCGGGTAACCTACATGGAATTTTGAACTAAACCCTTTATTTAATCTACAATAGCCTCATGGATTAAATGACTGGTTCGTGAATTTGGTGATATAGTAATTAGGAGTTCAGCCACTGGGCCGGACAGTGTGTACTTGGATTCAGTGGAAATCAGGTGGGCAATAACTGAGCAACATTACAAATAAGACCTAGACGAGACATGGGCAGCGCAAAGGGAACAGTCTACCCTCATAGATTAAATAAATTTTGTTTGTGTTGTGGTGTCCCCCCTCTAAAGAATCTGTGTTGGACTCTTCCGCCTACTATAAGAATAGTAGGAGAGAAAGCCTTGCGGGAACAGTCGACCAGACTTCATTTCTGTCGAATTCCCTGCCTCGGCGGAGAGGAACTCGGACGAGGCTTTGCCGCAGGGTAAGGTTTCGTCAGGGGAGGTGGACAGTCCCTGAACCCGTTTAGGCGGGCTCAAAGGGAATATTTTTGGCCGAGCCTACGGGCTCGGAGAACCCATGGCCTTGTGCCATATACATCCCTCGTGGGGCGGGGCTGTTAAATATTAACAGTCGAATAGATTGTTCGTAACAGTCGAACTCTCTGACTCGGCAGAGACGAACCCGGACGAGGATTTGCCGAAGGGCAAAGTTTCGTCCGGGGAGGTAGACAGGCCCTGAACCCGTTTATGCGAGTTCTAAGGGAATATTTTTGGCCGAGGCTATGGGCTCGGAAAACCCATGGTAAACTCTGTCTTGTGCCATATACACCCCTCTATATAACAGTGGAATAGATTGTTCAACCGAGGCTGTGAATTTTCGCAGCTGCTGTCTAACTCTCTGTTTTTGGGCAGACAGGAACCCGGACGAGACTTTGCCGAAGGGCAAAGTTTCGCCCCGGGGTGAAAACAGACATGAACCTGTTTATGCGGGTTCTAAGGGAATATTTTTGGCCGAGCCTACGGACTCGGAGAACCCACGGTAAACTCGGCCTTGTGCCACATACATTCCTCGTGGAGGGGAGGGCTGTTAAATATTAACAGTCGAATAGATTGAACGCTGGGTCAACCGACACACACTCACTAGTCGTGTAATACTCTTCTGTTGTACTTACTGTTTAATATATGATATATCTGCAACACTTTTTGTTATTTCTTTAACTATTTACTTGGTTACAACTGTTTGCCACTATTTTTTTTTTGTCTAACTAGGAGCAGTGTCGCAACAAGTTTTACATTAAATTTCTTTTTTATTACCTTACAAAATTTGTATTCATGGCCACCCCTTCACATTTGTCCTCTTGTCCTCAACTTCATGAGTCTTGTTTGTTTGCCAGCAAGGAATTTTAATAAACGAATATCTAAAATAAGGTGTTAGAAGGTAGCTTAATTTTCAATATTTTAATAAGCGCACCCTCCTTTATTCGGGAGGCATAACTAAGGGATTAAATTACTAAAGATTCCTACTGTGGATGCGACCTTAAAGACAGGTTGCCAGGTTGAATTTAAAGAAATCCTGAAAAGCGCACTTATAGCAAAAGATAAGGTGTAAGATACTAAGTATATGCAACAATTCCCAGAGATGATTTTTTTTTTTACTATAGTTAACTGAATATATATGCAGGGTTGGTTTGGGAGCTCAAAAGGGTCGAGGCAACCACTTAAAAACATTCCACGAATAGAGATTATGGCTTTGGCGCGATCAGTAAACCAATGCAATCTGGTGTGCTAGAAAAATAGGACTGGAATTAGTTTATACGGATTAGGCGCGAGTTACTAGGTCAGCTGCTAAGAAAGTCGGTTCACTGTGTCGTGCGAAACAGTTTTTCTCTCCAGAATCTGTCTTACACAGCTATAAATCTACCATTCGTCCATGCTTAGAATATTGCTGCTACATATGGTCAGGTGCTCCTGCTATTTACAGTGAGCTGCTTGATAAGATCCAATGAAGAATCAGCAATATTATTGGTCCTGATCTTCGACGACCTTTCCCGAACGAATCATATCTGCTCACGAAACGTACCTTAACGTAAACAATGACAACATATAATGAAATAGATTAAGTCCGACAATTATTTAATATATTTTTTTTTGTTTATACGTTATTTTAATAGATACAATTTATTTAAGTAGAAGAAAGATCGTCGAAGATTTGTTATTTTAAACATTAATTTGGACTTTGCTAACCAGACTCTTCTCTATAACTAAGTGGTATAGCACATCAGATCAAATGACGGTTCCATATAAGACACAAGTTCGATTCTTGTTGGACAACACTTATTTTCTACGAAAATTCTCGAACATTCAGGCTGGTAAATGTAATTAATACTGTTTAATTAAAAAACAGATCATTTAC